CTTTCCCTAAATTTGAAACTCAAAGCATTCATTTACCTTATAAATATTTCATAGCTTTTACATCATTGAGTCTCAATCTTTTCTTCTCAAATGAATTTCCAGATTCTTAACTCTTCAAAATATAGTTTCCTTTACTTTAAATAATTAACTATAATCTTATTCTCTTATACTAAAATATCTTTAATCTACAAAATTAATTTTCATTACAAAAATATTCCTTTAAATCTACTATAATATTTAAATGGCTACAAAATATAGTTACCTGAATTAAATTCACTACATAAAATCATATTAATAATTTTTTTAAATATTTAAATAGAGGACATCTAATAGTTAATTTTTTTTATCCCTCCTCCAAACTTAAATTTTTCAATATGAAATGATACATGTGGAAAAAAAAACTCTAAATATAAATCATACCTCAGTATTTTAGGCATTTTCATCATTCTAAAATTTTTGCAGTCATTCTCACAATTTCTACTTTACCTGATCTGTAACATTAGGAGTTTTCTACACATATAAATCATTAGAGAAATTGCTGGGTAATGAAATTTTGAAATAAGTATAAAAATAAAACATTAAACAAACATATAATAATTCACTAACACCTACAATACTAAACAAAAGACAATTACAATTAAAATGTAAAAAAGAAAATCAAATCACATTACAATTCACAAAGTACTAATCAACATCCATTATACTACACATGCAAATTTTAACTACCACACTAACAATTATAAAAATAATTAAAATTATCCAATTACAACAATAAAAATAAAAGTACAAACAAACATTTCTTTCTATTACAAAAATTACAAACATAAAAGTAAAAGTACAAGTACATCAACTACATTTAGATAGATATCAAACAAACTATGTCTTCGTCTCCTTGACCAGCAGGTGGATTGGGCTGATACTGAGTATATCGGGGCACTTAGGAAAAGTAACATCGGGCTCACCTCTGTAGTGTCGGGCCTGAGCTTCGTAGTAAGCTATTTCAAAATTTGAATGCCTCTGAAGGTACTCACTGTCATAATCATGTCAATGTTCCAAACCTCCAATCCTTTCATTTATTAATTCCATACTTTTTTGCTGCAAGGTCAACTCATTCATCAAGTCAGTTAGGGTAGGGGAACTAGAAGAAGGAAGGTCGTAACTTGTAGAGGGGACATCTCTACTAGTAGAAGGTTCTTGACTCCTACTCCCAGTTCTCCATTTTTCATGGGATTCATAAGTTTTCAAATTAGCTTTACTAATGGGTTTCATAGGGTAAACCCATTCTTCATCACTTCCAGCTTCCACTCCAGAAAGTTGGCAAAGTGCATAAATAAGGTCAGGATGTCCTAGACCTCCACTTATTTCACTCCTTGTCGTAGTCAATATATTCTTAAAAATGATTCTCCCTACATTTATATTTTTATTATTCTGAATACAGAAATTCAGAATAGCTCTATCTCTTGTTACCTCACTATGGTGATAGGTCGGTAACAGAGTAGAGAAAATAAAATAGTGTCACGCTTTAGAGGTGACATTCAGCATGGAAGCAAATGTTTTATTAAATTTACATATCTAACACCAAAAAATTTTTCATTAAATTTACACCAATCAAAAGTACCACATAAAAATATCACTTATTTCATTACATTCACATCTTTTCATTGACGGGTAATTCTCACAAGGAAATGTTTTATTAAAGAAAATTGGCTTTGACTAAGAAAGATGACTATAAAAGAACTTCAATGTAGCATTCAAATTGAGAATTTTGAAAATTAAATTTAGAATTTGATTGGGGTAAAATGAAAAAGTCCAAGTGAAACTCATGTTTAATAAATATTTTCTCTTAATCATCATGCAAAATAATCTATAATTCAAATAATTTATGGAAATGTATGGTTAAATTATTAATATAATTTAAGAATAAACTATGCTAATAGCCTCAAACCACAGAACTGTTTGTAACATGCAACAACTTTGCTACCAAGTGAGAATGTGTGATATCAGTGATGAGGATGATGATGTTTATATAATTTATTATTATGCAATCATGTTGTATCAGTAAACAATTAATACATGGATTCATTTTGTATACTCACAAAGTTCCAAAGATTAAATGGCTTCAACATTTGATGCTTTCCTCTCTATATACTGGAATGGATTCGAGCGTTTCTGCATTTGGTATGGCACCTTCAAATTACATTCATTCAAACAGTTTCAAAGCTTCTTTGCAGCTTAAAGATTGTGTGTACCCATTGATCATATGTCCAAGATATTACATTCTTTTCATGTATTGCAGAAAAAAAATCTTTTTTTGCATCATTTACACTACTTTTTTCTGCAGTACATTGTCAAGACAGCCCTCAAAGAGTGTGGAGATGGTGTAATCATGTAAGAAAATTGCAGACTTGTGCATTTCAAGGAAGAGCATTTGAAGCAAAAACATTGTTTCCCGATCCCTTATTTATGAACTGTGAGTGAAGTTTCTCAGTATAACTAGAGGGTTCATTATGCAAATTCAATTAGAAATTCACCTTTCTCTTGCATCTCTATAAGAAAAATTGCATCTTGGTCGCACTTTACAATCTGTCTTTAAATTCTATAAATTCCCAGCAATAAGAGAGTTTCAAGTCACTTCATCTCTATTTAACAAGTAAAAGTTAAATGGCATTAGCATAAAGCTCTATTCCCGATTTCAATTCTGAAAGAAGTCCATCTTTTAGGATCCTAACAGGAGCCTGTTCCCCATGTCTGAGATCTCCAGAGCTCGCAGAACCTCAGAAAGCACTATATGATATCAAATGGAATTTGAATCTTCTCTAACACAAAGCATATTGTCTGGAACTTATGATTTTGCTGCAAAAAAGTTCCAACATAGATCAGTAAAACAAATTGTAATATGTTTAATAACTTATATACAAGTCAAATGCTATTACAGCTTTCATTTCTTCACACACTTTCTCCTCGAAAAAACACAAAGATTAAGTGCAATTCTAAACTATGCAATGTAGTTTCTTTTTTTTTTTTGTTTTAATAAATATTTAGTGTTATTTAAAAGAGCCATACCTTTTTTATAGTGAATTATAGTACATACAACTCCATTTTTTTAGTGAATTATAAGACATACCATCCAATTCAATTTATTTTGAATAAAAATCTCTCTTCTCAAAAGGAAGGGACATAACAAAAATTCATTTATGGATCACTTTGGTGCGATTAATATATGTTTAACATAGATAGAAACACAGTATTTTTTTGAAACAAAAATTTAAGCAAAATCTATTGATAATAAGGTCTAAAAGTACATTGATGGTACAAAAAAAGTGTCATTATAATTACGGGATCATTACATACACGACCGTCTTCATAAGAAAGAACTTCATAGAAATTACAATAAAGACGAAGACTAATATACTTTTCATCTGCATTAAGATAATCTCAAGCTTCTTTTTTTGTGCTCTCCTTAAAAGTTTGCGATTGATTCTCCATTTCATATATTGTACAATCATCATAGCCCAAACAAAGAGAAGTGACATCTCAATTCTCAAGAATTTTCTTCCACTACTCCTTCCTTTATAGGATGTGAATATGACATATTATAAATTACATCAACAAGTAATTTGATGATTCACAGAGATGCCCTCCTATGTAGATGATTGAATTGAGCTCATTTCTGAAACCCTAAACACCCATTAACCAACATTATAACAAAACAGATTTATTTCAAAATGACTTGATCTATAACATGAAAAACACATTACCATAAGAATTTTAATGGATTGCAAATTCATTTCTAAATGGAAAAAAACATAATCAGATTATTATTAATCATAAAGGCATTCTTGCTAGCCTCTTATATGCAAGTTGTAGTTAGGCACCATCAAATGAAACTTCATTTAGGCATGAATTTAAGGTAGATCTAGCTCAATGAAAAAAAAAATGAAAATTAAATCTAACGCTTACTTAAATATATATATTTTTTTTGTTCTATTTCCTTTGTGACGTAAAGCTAGATTCACTAAATTAGATTACAGGGAAGATTTAAGAGATTTACTCCATTGTCGCTCACGAAAAACCAGGTTTCATCCAAACTCCGCCAAAATATAGATTTCGACACAAACTAACTTTAAACAAATTTTAAAAACTAAGCGTAACTGGCAGGCCAAAGACATGAAAGAGCACTTTTATAGCTTTCATGGAGATGATGTCCCAAGCAAATTTGTTATGCAGAGTTTTTTGTACATTTTTATTCCTTACCAAAAAGTTGTCAATTTGTTATCACTGACCGAGGTTTATCACAAATGAAGTGTATGATACTGTTGAAGAAAACTTAGAAAATTAACTGACAAATGCTATAAAGATGGAATGCTACATGAAATTGACCTCCGCGTTCAAAAACACGAGATTGGTCAGGTCAACTTCTATAACTTAGTTTCAATAACCATTCAGTTATTAACATGATCAGGCAAATCATATAGCTCAAACTGCTCAAAATAATAATAACTTAACTTGGGAGGAAACTTGTGATAGAGGAGGGAATTGATTTGTTGTATTAATGGCTTTAATTGTAATTAGGTATAATTTAGTCTTTTGACTTTATTTACTTGTATGTCGTGATCCTACTCTATAAAAGGGACCTAAGGTTCATGAGAGAGGTACAGTGATAAGTGTAGAACTTGTAGCCTCAAATTGTTCTTTTCCTTCTCCCCATCCCACGCTAGTAAAATCTCCCTTCCTGTGGTTTTAAGTGAATCAAATCAACATCGAACCATGTAAATATTTTGCAATTGTTATTGTATTAATTTATTTATTTTCACATTGTTTCACATAACAATTGGAATCAAAGCTTGATGTTCGTGATTAGGGCGTGGTTCAATTTCTACAATAGCAAATATGGGGTATGTTGTTGAAATTTCTGTACCAGGTGGTCTGACTCGTTTTGCAGACATATTCAGAGTTTCGACGGTTGATTAATGGCGGGTCTATGGCTTGGACCCAAGGATTCGGTGAACGCGACAAATAGGGCCGCCAAGAAGGTCGGTGAAACAAGTCATCTTGCCATTGGGACCAACCTCACACGTCTTTTCCAAAATTTCCAAGACCTCTTTGTCCCGACGACCGCGACAGGAGGCTGCTCTGGCGGCAACAGACACAGTCTGACAGAAAAATTAACATGGAATAGAGAATAAAAAGATTTGTTTAATAAGGGAAAGCTTTTGAGTTAAGGAAATTTTGGGAAGTGAAAAAAAAGGAAAGCTTCCGAGTGAAGATATTTTTTAAAAAAGAGGAATTTTAAGGATAAAAGATTAAAGAAACAAGGAATATTTTTTAGGTGAATTGTTTTTGTTTGTTTTTTTTTTCAGGTTTCCAAAAGTAATGAGGAAAAAATATTTCAAGGAATGTTCTATTCTGCTAGAAAGATTTTTTTATACAGTAGTTTTAATGAATGATAACATGATATCAGGTTCTTCAACATCCACTATGGCGGTGGAAAAGCTGATTCATCAAGTGGTTATATATTCCATTAAAATCAATGCGATGAAATTCAACGACAAAAAGAAATTTGGCATGTGGCGATGCGAGGTGATGGAGGTGACTTGTTTTTTCTGTCTGGAGGAAGTTATGCATAACAAAGAATGCCCTGAACAAATGTCAGAGAAAGATTGATTGAACATGAACTAGAGTGTTTGTGGGCGGCCTGATCCAAAATTGCTTGACCTACGAAATCAAATATGAGGTGATGATGAAAACTTCTATTAAAAAATTATAGAAGATGTTGGTGTGCAAATATCTTACAAAGAGCATAGATAATTGTCTTCATATGAAGCATTAATTCAACATATTTTAATTGAGAATGGGGGTTATTATTGATGAACACTTGAATTACTTCACAAAGCTAGTAGCAGATCAATTAAATTTTGATAAGGAGGTTGGAGATAAATACAAGGCACTCCTATTGAATTCACTCTTAAGGTATTGAATTATGGTGAAGTGAATACTGTTGAATCATCAATTCAATCAAATGAACAAGGAGTCAACAAAGATAGAGTAAGCTGATACATTTACACCCTAACATGGTAGATCTTAAAAGAAGAATAATTCAACAAAAAAGGCGGCAACACGACCCTTCTCAAAAGCGGAACATGTTTCGTGGGAGCGGTCTTCGGAAAAATCAATGTGTTTTATGTTTAGGGACTGGTCATTTGAAGAAATATTGTCCGAAACTGAAGATGAAGAGAAAGAAAGTTGCAGCTTAGGTATGGTGAGCTATATGCTCATAAAATATAATAAAAGTAGAGAAATAAAGTTTCATGGGTGCGGTCTTGGAAATCTTTTTCATATAATAAATAATAATGTGACGTCCCAATAAAAATATGTACGGTGAGCTATATGTCATAAAATATCATCTATTTTAGCTGTGCAATCTTTTATATTGGTGTTCACTAATTTCTTCAATATCATTTTTATCTACCGATTAAATATTTTAGCTTAGTCACGAGTTTGGCTGTGATAGATAGTAACGAATCTATATCTAATTCCATATTTTTGTCAAAAAAATTTAAACTTGATGATTGCATAAATGGTTATTCTTATCAATAATCAATGCTCTAGACATTCCAATGCATGAAAATATATTACGACTTAGCTAGATAATTTAAAAATAATCATAGTATCATTTTTTGAGCAACTATAACGTCACTCTATTTTGACACATGATCTATTGCAACTAAAATAAATTGATTTCTTAATAAATTAAGAAAGGGTCCTATATAATCTATCCCTTAACATCAAGTAATTCAATTTCTAATTTATAATCGTGGTTCATCTTTTCTCTTTATGTTGCCTATCTTTGGCAACAATTGCACTTTTCTAAAGTTATTCACATCCTTAAATAGTGCAGGCTAATAAAACTATGATTTTAAAATCTTAGATGTGGTTCTATCTCTGCAAAAATGTCCCTCATATTCAGATTCACGCATACGGGGTTTGTCACCTTAAAAACCTGTCACCTTACAGTCTACCACAAGCCGATTGTCTCGCCCATCCTTTACTTGGGCCCCACCTCTAATAGTGATTCAGTCATCCCTAACTCCTCGTTCAAAACTCCCAACTTCTCATTCACCAACTCTTAACTCAGAAACATACTCAAAAGCTCATTTAAGTTACTGGAAGTCGAGTCGTCTAGTCCATATATTGTAAAAGTGAAATACATGGAATGACCTTCAGCATGCAATAATCAACTATCACAAGTAGATATCATCCTTTCCCATCGTTGTTAGGCACTCAAACACGTATGAGAAAGGAGTAGATAAATCATTTCCTTAAGTTGCTTGAATGCTCTGTTGTGGTGTCCCGTTGAAGTCATTGCACCTAACAGTCCTCCTGACCCAAGAATGGCAACAAATCGATCTGATTCAAGAATTTTGACACCCCCTCCAATGATAACATCATCTCTGAAAAGTGGGGACTGTCTCCAGGGGATGCACAGGGAGACCCCAAATAGTTGACTGATGCATCAACATTATCAGATGTTTGAACAATGTGTTTGGGGATCACCCAGGAGGAGTTGTTTGGCTGATGGAGGATCAACATAATCGAGGAAATTAGCCGCACCTTTAGGACTGTTTGATAAGATCCTTGCTAGTCCGTCGATGGAGCATCCACTTGAACTTCAACTCGTTACATCGCACATGCTTACCAAACCAGCCTTAAAGAAGTATTTTTGTTGGGACATTAGCTTGGGTCGCAGTAGGCTTCTCTGCTATTCAAAATTTCTAGCAAGGGGAATGACATTAGACAGATGAAGTAATGCTTAATGAAATCCTAGGAAAGTCTTGTCAAACTATTTATAGTAGCATGAGGCACAAACTTAATAGAGTATTTAAAGCTTTAAACATTGACTTTGATCTAAGAAATAGTTATTGAATCAATTAATTCCCTCTCTCTTATTGCAACATGACTTCCTAAATTTTGAGAACATTAGAGAACTAAATATGTACATAGGAAAAAGTATGCTTCTCAAATGATGATAAAATCGAATAAAGATGGGCTACCGAAAGGGTTCTTAAGGTGGCCTAGGAGTTGCCACAAGCAGACTTAAAGGGATGATCGCTGGACATTGAAGAGCCAAAGAAGCGTGATAGGTCGTGGGCACTGAAGGTTGATTGTCCTAGGGCAGAGCAAACTTTAAGGCCAAACGGCTACCACCAATATATTGATGATTGACATAGACCACACTTATCGGGCTTGCTGACATAACACAAGTTTAAAGAAGTAGACCGTCAAGGGGTTGTCATTTGATATCACACGATTTACACTAAGGGTGCATTTGTGACACCATTTTGTTGCGGTGTGGTGGAAAAATGCAGAAACAAATCTTTGTAAAGAGAGATGCAACAATTTTTTTTGGATAAACACATCTAAAAGCGGGTTGGAGGTTCGACCCCGCTTCCTGCATCTTGTTTGCGAGATATTACCCTGTTGTCTCTTTTACGACATTCACATTTTGTTTGTGTGTCCTTTTGCTGTCGTGCTTCTCTCCCGCATTTGTGCCCTTGCTCTCTTCTCCTCTCCTCTATCTTTGGTCTGTTGTTTTGGTGGCATCTCTCATCTCCTTACTTCCTCCCTTTTCTCCGGTCTCTAGTTCTGGTGGCACTCTCCCATATGTCTGTATGATATTCTCTACCCTATACAAATAGTGTTGATATTCTTGGTTCTTGTTTGAGGTTTCTAATTCTCGTGTGTCTTTCGCTCTGTGGTATATGTTGGAACGGTTTTATGTGAGCCTCTTTACAATTTCTGGCATTCTTCAATTACATGGGTGGCATGTGCTCTTTTCTTTGTGTTGGAAGGGTTCGAATTGAGGCCCTTTAAGGTTCCTGACATTTCCCATTACCTTTCATTTTCTGATCAATGGGATTTGTGGTTTGGTTTTTGTGATTTATTGCCTAGTGTGGGTTGTTCAGTTGGGCTCTTTGTTTTATTTTGTTTTTGGTTCAATTTGATTAAAATTGCAAAATAATTTTGCTTGGTTTGGTGGTTTGTCTTCTTTGTTTAGCTCGACAATTGTATGTTGGTGGCATTGTTGTTGGTTTTTTTGTGCCATTTTGGTGGTGCTTTTGATGGTGATATTGTGTCATGGTGGTGGCACTGTTAGAGGTGTTGTTGGTGGTGTGTCAATGTTGATGGTGTTTTTTTTGTCGTGGTCGTGGTGCTATTGGTGGTGAAACTGATGGTATGTGTGGATGTTGGTGGTGGTTTCTTCTTAAGTTGAGTAAAACGGTTCGAGGATTTCACCACAAATAGTGATTAGGCGTGAAGAGTCTCGTTGGAGGAGGGATCATCTTGTGACATTAACGGACTGTATTTTAAAAATAACATTATGATAATATTAACTATTATTGTAATAGTCTTATTTTTAATTTTGATTATCGTGTTACTCACTGTATAATGAGGTGTCATATTTTATTTTGTAATATTCAAATTATATATTTAATTTTAAGTATGAAATGTGCAATCAAGACTGATTTTGCTATAAACCACACTATACTGTAGAAGCAAAAATGTCGTTTGTTCATAAATAGTTGTAGCGCCACTGCTACTAAACTTCAAAAAACATACAAACACCTAGCATCTCCGCAGCAGTTGTGCCACCAGCTGACTTCCTGGCACAGCTGCTGCACAACAGTTTTTTAATATCCTGCAATTGCCCCAAACATACCCTTTGACTTGTGATAAACAGATGTGTCAAAAAAGCTCGTCATTCACGAATGGATCGTGTTCAACTTACTAAGATGCTCATGTCTGATTCGTTTGATAAACAAACAAGCCGAACACGAATAAATTTTTTGAGCTCGATTGATAAACGAGCCGAACATGAACAAACTTTTGTTCGATCGTGTTCGTCTCATTTTGACTCGATTTAATTAAATAATAAATAAATAATGTCAAAAAATAATATAATGATATAATTTTTTTTTTAATATAAAAATGTAAAACGAAAAGTTAGATGTCAGATATGTAAATACATAAGAATTGGCCGGTATGTACGTAAATACCCATAAAATTTAATAAAAAAAAAAATTAGGTGTTAGATATTTAAATACATAAGAATTGGGTGATATGCATCATGCATGTAATTGCCCCCATTCGACTTTTGTCCCACATTGCTAAATTGAACAAAGCTTCACCATGAATCCTCTATAAAAGTAAAAACAAAGTTGATAAATTCAAGGTTTTAGTTTAACATAAGTATTGTTTAATGAATTTTTTAATTGAAAATATTTAAAATAAAGACTGAACTTTTAAAATTTAAGTTGAAGCTATAATTGAAGGAGATCATGAGCTAATCAACTACAACTCCACTGTAGGGCATATAATAGAAGGGACATGATACTTTTTTGAAGGAACTGACTCTTTGTTCGAAGCCAACGACTTAACCGAAATCTTAAAGCTTCTTCACTCTCTTGGAGACATAGCAAAATGATTTACAAAATTTTAACAGAGATTTCATGTAAATCAAATTATGAAAAATGATATAAATAAATTATGCTTTTTGAGTCCACATCTTGAAGAAAATCAAATAAATTAAAATTTAATTAATAATTTTAAATAGTAAAATTTGAGATTTATTTTAAGAAAGTCGGGTAATGCACGTCCTCCTCTTTCCATTAAAAACTGCGGATTTATAGATTCTAATATTGAAAAGTTAACACTTTTATCACATTTTTGTCGTTCGGCCGCAGATAACTAACACGAAGGAAACGGTAATCGCTCTGTGTTTCTTCTCCTTCTGATCGGCGAAGCAGTCCGAGGTTGCAGGGACGACAATGGCGGACGCAAAGAGGTCGCTGGATTACTGGAGGAAGTTCTTCGGCAGCGCAAAAACTGACATTTTTGAGTTGATCGAGAAAGCCATCGTCTTGGCAGCGGTGGATCGCCCGAATGAGTTTAAGGAGAAGAAAGATATGATTGCAGAGAAGCTCCAGAATTCCAACAATGGCGATGATGATCCCAGGAAGGAGGAGGAGGAGAAAAATAGCTATAATTGTGAGAATCCCCAAGAGATTCAGATAGATAAAGAGGTGATGAGGATAAAAAAGGTTCTTTGCAACGGCTCTGGGTCTGATGAAGTCTTGTATGAAGCTCTGAAGACTCTGCAACTCATGGAAATGTCTGTCGAAACTCTGAAAAGGACTGATATTGGAAGAATGGTGAATGCTCTGCGCAAACATAGCTCTGTTCATATTCGAGACCTCGTTCTGAATCTCGTTAATGGCTGGAAGCTTTTGGTGGATCAATGGGTTAAATCCACAGCTGAATCTACGGTGCCAATTTCTGAAGAAAAGGCAGGTAGCCATTCTTCTTCTGGAGCAAAGAGAAAGCAGGTGGAGGAAGTTGAAGATATGTCGAGGTTGGAGATTGCGAAGAAGAAGCTTCATGATGGATACCAGAGAGCGGAAAGCGCGAAGAAGAGGCGGATGATACAAGTAATAGAGCCTGGAGATCTTCCTGTGGATTCAAGCAAACCAGGAGGAGGAAGAAGAAGAAGGCTACCAGCGTTCTGATTCAGTTCTGATTCAGATTTGTTCTGCTTTTGGATGTTAGTCTTTGTTCATAATTTTTTTCTAGATCTTCTGTGTTGATGTGTCTGATGTTAGAGAGAATATTAGGTACCAAGTTTGCATCATATATCTAGATTATATATAGAATAACAGAGATATATAGATACAGCAAGCATACTGAATTTGAACATATTGTATAGGGGGGATGATGATATTTCATCTGCTTTTTTCTGGTTTTAGTGATGCATTTACTGTTCGTACTTTTTACTCGTGAGATAATATTCTTGTTTTAGATAATATGCTTGTGCTGGTGAAGAGCTGTTAATGATCAGATTTTTAGTTTAGTTGAGGCCGGTTTGAAATCGGCTTGTTGTTGGTCATATTCAATTTTAAGCCAAGCAGGTTTGAAATTGTATTAAGATGCAGCTGCCTCGAAATTGAAAGGAGCTGACTCAACTTGAGTTATTTGGTTCTGTTTCAACTTGGAATCAGCTCGATATGACTCAAAGTCAAAGTTGAAACCAATTGGCTCAAATTGAGTTGTTTAGGATCCATTTCAGCTTGAAATTATCTTAAAATTGTCTTGTAGCTCATTATATTCAATTTTAATTAGCATAACAAATAGATTTTTTATAAATAAAAAATGTTAGGTGCCGATCTCGATTCAGCAGGCGATCTATGGCTCGAAATCGGCTCGAAAAAAACTCAATCCAAGTTTCGGCTCATAGCTCTGCTCATTTATTTCAATCCGATCTTCATCAGAGCCAAAATGTGAATCAATTTTCAAATGATTAAAGGTCTTATAGCTGGCCTTGAGTAAGTAGAACTATTTTCAGCGTTTAGTGGAGAACAGAGAGCGCAATGAGTTGCTTGAAGTTTTAGAACTGATCTTTAAAAGGGGTATTTACATACATACCATCCAATTTTCGATTTATTTACATATCTAGCACATCTCTTCATGCATGGGTAAAATGCCATAGAAATTGAGCGGTATATATGTAAATCTTCCTTTTAAAAAATATTGCACAATTTTAAATTCTTTATTAGATGCACCCTGCAGTTGGAAATAATTGCTTTCTAATTCTCACAAGGAAATGTATCATTAAAGAAAATTGGTTTGATTAAGAAAGAAGTTCAATGCAGTATTCAAATTAAGAATTTTGAAAATTAAATTTAGGATTTGATTGGGGTAAAATGATAAATGTCCAAGTGAAACTGATGCTTAATACATATTTGCTATTAATCATCATTTAAATGTATGGTTAACTTATTAATAGTATTCTAAATAATCTTCATAAGCTCATCAGTTTTGGTATCAACAATAAACCATGTTGATAGCCTGAAACCACAAAACTGTCTGTAACTTGCAGCAGCTCTGCAATTAAGTGAGAATATGTGATATTAGTAATGATGATGACGATGATGTTTATATAATTTAATACTATGTAATCATGTTGTCTCAGTAAACAATTAAAACATGGAGTCATTTTGTATGCTCACAGAGTTCCAAAGATTAGATGGCTTGAAAATTTGATTCTTTGCTCTCTATATACTGGAATAGATCCTCCATACAGAAAAAGTTTCAGCATTTTTGCATTTGGTATGGCACCTTCAAATTCCATTCATTCAAAGAGTTTGAGAGCTTCTGTGCAGTATCCACATTGTGTGCACCCATTGCTATTAGTGATGATGATGATGATATTTATATAATTTAATAGTATGCAATCATGTTGTGTCAGTAAACAATTAAAGCATGGAGTCATTTTGTATTCTCACAAAGTTCCAAATATTACATGGCTTGAAAATTTGATTCTTTGCTTTCTATGTGCTAGAATAGATACTCCATACAGAAACAATTTCAGCACTTCTGCATTTGGTATGGCACCTTTAAATTCCATTCATTCAAAGAGTTTCAAAGCTTCTTTGTAGCTTCCAGATTGTGTGTACCCTTGATCTTATGTCCAATATACTACATTATTTTCATGTACTGCAGAAAAACCTTTTTTTGCATCATTTACAGTACTTTTTTTTGCAGTACATTGTCATGACAGTCCTCAAAGAGTGTGGAGATGGTGTAATCATGTAAGAAAATTTCAGACTTCTGCATTTCGAGGAAGAGCATTTGAAGCAAAAACATTGTTTCCCAGTCCCTTTTTATGACTGTGAGTGAAGTTTCTCAGTATAACTAGAGGGTTCATTATGCAAATTCAATTAGAAATTCACCTTTCTCTTGCATCTCTATAAGAAAAATTGCATCTTGGTCGCACTTTACAATCTGTCTTTAAATTCTATAAATTCCCAGCAATAAGAGAGTTTCAAGTCACTTCATCTCTATTTAACAAGTAGAAGTTAAATGGCCTTAGCATAAAGCTCTATTCCCGATTTCAAATCTGAAAGAAGTCCGTCTCTTAAGATCCTAACAGGAACCTGTTCACCATGTCTGAGATCTCCAGAGCTCGCAGAACCTCGGAAAGCACTACATGATATCAAATGGAATTTGAATCTTCTCTAACACAAAGTATATTGTCTGGAACTCATGGAAATGTCTGTCGAAACTCTGCAAACGACTGAATTTGAAAGAATAGTTTTAATGTTGACAACACGATATCAAGTTCTTTAACATCCACTATGACGGTGGAAAAGATTATTCATCAAGTGGTTACATATCCCGTCAAAATCAATGCAATGAAATTTGGCGACAAAGAGAAATTTGGCGGCGATGCGAGGTGATGGAGGCGACGTGTTCTTTCAGTCTGGAGGAATTTCTGTACAACAAAGAATGTCTTGAAGAGATGTCAGAGAAAGATTGATTGAAGATGAACCAGAGTGTTTGTGGGTGGCTTGATCCAAAATTGCTTGACCTAGGAAACAAAATATGAGGTGATGATGAAAACTTCAATAAAAAATTATAGAAGAGGTTAGAGTACAAATATCTTACAAATAGCATAAATAAATGTCTTCGTATGAAGCATTAACTCTACATATTTTAAATGAGATGGGGGATTCTTATTAATGAACACTTGAATTACTTCACAAAGTTGTTAGCAGATCAAATAAATTTTGATAAGGAGGTTGGAGAGAAAGACAAGCCACTCCTTCTATTAAATTCACTCTTAAGGTATTGAATTATGGTGAAGTGACTACGACATTGTTGAATCATCAAGTCTATCGAATGAACAATGAGTCAACAAAGATAGAGAAGCTGAGACACTTACACTCTAACGTTGTAGATCTTAAAAGAAGAATAATTCGACAAAAAAGGCGGTAACACAAAACTTCTCAAAAGCAGAGCAAGTAGCGTGTGCGCAATTTTGAGAAAAATCAATGTGTTTTATGTTTAGAGACGGGTCATTGGGAGAAATATTGTCTGAAGGTGAAGTAGAAGAGAAAGAAAGTTGTAGCTTAGGTATGGTGAGCTATATGCCCATAAAGTATAACAAAAGAAGAGGAAGAAAGCCTCGTGGGCACAGTTTTGAAAATTTTTTTTCATATAATAAATAATAATGTGATGTCCCAATAAAAATATGTATGGTGAGCTATATGCCCATAAAATATCATCGATTTTAATTGTGCAATCTTTTCTATTGGTATTCACTAATTTCTTCAATATCATTTTTATCTCCCGATTAAATATTTTAGCTTAGTCATGAGTTTGGGAGTGGTAGGTAGTAATAGATCTATATATAATTCCATATTTTTGACAAAAAAATTTTAAACTTGATGATTACATAAATGGTTATTCTCATCAATAATCGCTGCTCTAGACATTCCAAAGCATGAAAAGATATTACCGCTTAACTAGAGAATTTAAGAATAATACTAGTATCATTTTTTCGAGGAACTATAGCATCAATCTATTTTGACACATGATCTACTGCAACTAAAATAAATTGATTTCCTAATAAATTAATAAAAGTTCCTATAAGATCTATTCCTTAACATTAAGTAATTCAATTTCTAAGTTATAATCGAGGGGAATTTCATCTTTTCTTTATGTTGCCTATCTTTGGCAACAATTGCACTTTTCTAAAGTTATTCACATCCTTAAATAGTGCAGGCTAATAAAATTATGATTGTAAAATCTTAGATGTAGTCCTATCTCCTCCAAAATGCCCCTCATATTCAGATTCACGCACAAGGGGTCTGTCACCTTAAAAACCCATCACCTCACAGTCTACCACAAGCCGATTGTCTCGTCCATCCTTTACTTGTGCGCCACCCCTGATAGTGATTCAGTCATCCCTAAGTCCTCATTTAAAACTCCCAACATCTCACTCACGAACTCTTAACTCAGAAGAAGACTCAGAAGCTCATTTAAGTTAAGGGAAGTCGAGTCGTCTAGTCCATAGCTTGTAAAAGTAAAATACAAGGAATGACCTTCAGCAGACAATAATCAACCATCACAAGTAGATATCATCCTTGCCCGTCACTCTTAGGCACTCAAACACGCATGAGAAAGGAGTAGATGACTCATTGTCTTAAGTTGCTTGAATACCCTGCTGTGGTGTCCCTTTAAAGCTATTGCACCTGACAGTCCTCCTGACCCATGAATGACAACAAATCGATCTGATTCAGAGATTTTGACACCCCCCTACAACGATAGCAATGGTCAACATCTTTGAAATTTGGGGACTGTCTCTTGGGGTTGCACAGGGAGATCCCAGATAATTGACTGATGCATCAGCATTATCAAATGCTTGAACAATGCCTTTGGGGATCACACAGAAGGAGTTGTTGGGCTGATGGAGGATCAACATAATTAAGGGCATTAGCGACACCCTTCAGGACTGTTTGATAAGATCCTTGCTAGTCCGTCTATGGAGCATCCACTTGAACTTCAACCCGCTACTTCGCACATTCTTACCAAACAAGCCTTAAAGGAGTATTTTTGTTGGGACATTAGCTTGGGCCGCAGTAGGCTTCTCCGTCAATCAAAATTTCTATCAAGAAGAGTGACATTAGACAAATGAAGTAAAGCTTAATGAAATTCTAAGAAAGTCTTGTCAAACTATTTATAGTAGCATAAGGCACAAAAATTAATGGAGTTTTTAAGGCTTTAAACATTGACTATGGTCTAAGAAATAATTATTGAATCTATTAATTCTCTCTCTCTTATTGCAGCATGACTTCCTAAAATTCGAGAACATCGAAGAACTAAATATGTACATAGAAAAAAGTACGCTTCTCAAATGATGATAAGACTAATGGACCTGATCTAATAAAGATGGACGACCGAAAGGGTTCTCAAGGTGGCCTAGAAGTTGCCACAAGCAGACTTAAAAGGCTGATCGCTGGACATTGAAAAGCCAAAGAAGTGTGATAGGTCGTGGGAATTGAAAGTTGATAGACCTAGGGCAGAGCGAACTTTAAGGCTAAATAACTACCAACAATGTATTGATGATTGACATAGACCACACCTATCGGGCTAGCCGACATATCACAAGTTTAAAGAAGTTGATCGTCAAGGGGTTGCATTTGTTGTCGCATGATTTACACTTACGGTGTGTTCGTGACAACATTTTAGTTGTGGTGCGATGGAAAAATCCAGAAACAAATCTTTGGAAAGAGCGATGCAAAAGTTTTTTGGGATAAACACATCTAAAAGTGGGTCGTAGGTTCGACCCCATTTCCTGCATTTTGCGAGATATTACCCTGCTACCTCTTTTACAACATTCAAATTTTGTTCGTGTGTCCCTTTTGCAGTCGTTCTTCTCTCGTGCATTTGTGCCCTAACTCCCTTCTCCTCTCCCTTATCTCTGGTCGGTGGTTCTGGTGGCGTCTCTCATCTCCTTCCTTCCTCCCTTTTCTCCAGTCTCTAGTTCTGGTGGCACTCTCCCATATCTCCGTATGATATTCTCTACCCTATACAAATGGTGTTGATATTCTTGGTTCTACTTTAAGGTTTTCCCTGTGTGGCTTGCTCTTTACGATTTTTGGTTTTGCTCTATTTGCAGTTTATGAAAATTTTCTAATTCTCATGTGTCCTTCGCTCTGTGGTATATGTTGGAACGGTTCTATGTCAGCCTCTTTGCAATTTCTGGCATTCTTCAATTATATGTGTGGCCTATGCTCTTTGCTCTGTGTTGGAAGGGTTCAATTTGAGGCCCTTTGAGATTTCTGACATTTCCCATTTCCTTTTATTTTCTGATCAATGGGATTTGTGGTTTGGTTTTTGTGATTTATTTCTTAGTGTGGCTTGCTCAGTTGGGGTTCTTTGCTCTATTTTGTTTTTGGTTCAATTCGATTAGAATTGCAAAAAAGTTTTGCTCGGTTTGGTCGGGGTTGGTTGTTTGTCCTCTTTATTTAGCTTGGCAATGGTATGTTGGTGGTATTGCTGATGGTTTTTGTGTGTCATGTTGATGGTGCTTTTGATGGTGATATTGTGCCCTGGTGGTGGTACTGTTAGAGGTGTTATTGGTGGTGTGTGGATGTTGATGGTGTTTTTTCTTTGTCGTGGTTGTAGTGCTATTGGTGGTGAAGTTTGTGGTATGTGTGGATGTTGGTGGTGGTTTCTTCTTAAGGTGGGGAAATCAGTTCGAGGATTCCACCACAGATAGTGATTAGGCATGGAGACTTTCGTTGGAGAAGGGATCATTTAGTGACATTAACTGACTGCATTTTAAAAATAACATATAATAATATTAACTATTATTGTAATAGTCTTATTTTTCATTTTGATTATTGTGTTACTCACTGTATAATGAGGTGTTATTTTTGATTTTGTAATATTCAAATTAGATATTTATTTTCAAGTATGAAATGTGCAATCAAGTCTGATTTTACTATAAACAACACTATAATATATGAGCAGAAATATCATTTGTTCATAAATAGTTGCAGCACAATTACTGCAAAACTTCACAGAACATAAAAACAACTAGTTTCCCCGCAACAGCTGTGCCAGTAGCTGGTTTTCTGGCACAGCTGCTGCACAACAACTTTTTAATATGCTACAATTTCCCCAAACACACCCTTACACTTGTGATAGGTAGCGGTGGCAAAAAAGCTCGTTGTTCACGAATAGCTTGTGTTTAACTTACTAAGATGCTCATGCTTGATTCATTTGATAAACAAACAAACCGAACACAAATAAATTTTTTGAGCTCGATTTATTAACAAGCCGAACATGAATAAACTTTTGTTTGATCCAGTTCCACTCATTTTGACTCGATTTAATTAAATAATAAATAAATAATGCAAGAAAATAATTTAATGATATAAAAAATTTTGTTTATAAAAATATAAAAAAGGAAAGCTAGATGTTAGATATGTAAATACAAAATAATTGGTTGGTATGTATGTAAATACCCATAAGATTTAAAAAAAAAAATGGTGTTAGAAATATAAATACATAAGAATTGGGTGATGTGCATGGAAATGCCCTATTTTCTCTCAAACCACTTGTCCCACATTGCTAAATTGAGAAAGCTTCACCGCGAATCCTCTATAAAACTAAAAAACAAAGTCCTGAGAACTCCTAAGTCTTAGATTCACTCAAAGTGCTTTTTAGTTATTTTTTTAAAATAAAATGTTTTTTATTTTTTAATTCAATTGTAATTAATTAAATTATTAATTTGACTTTTAAATTATGGATTTGACTTTTTTAAAACTCAAGCAGAACATGAGTTTGATCCGAACAAATGAATTTGAATCGAGTCAATACAAACAAATACTTTAGAAGTTATTTCAGAATAAATAAAATATAATTTTTATAAGTCAAACACAAATAACCCACCATAGGCCACAAATTTTTTAAGACAGACTTCGTGTAGATCAAATTATGAAAATGATATACATAAATATTAATCAATATCCATTTATGTTTTTTGAATCTGAAGAAAATCAAGTAAATTAAAATTTAATTAATAATTTTAAATAATAAAATTTGAGATTTATTTTAAGAAAGCCGTTAATGCACGTCCTCCCCTTTCCATTAAAAACTGCGGATTTATAGGTTCCACTATTGAAAAGTTTACACTTTTATCACATTTTATCGTTCGGCCGCAGATAACCAACACGAAGGAAACGGTAATCGCTCTGTGTTTCTTCTCCTTCTGATCAGCGAAGCAGTCCGAGCTTGCAGGGACGACAATGGCGGACGCAAAGAGGTCGCTGGATTACTGGAGGAAGTTCTTCGGCAGCGCAAAAACTGACATTTTTGAGTTGATCGAGAAAGCCATCGTCTTGGCAGCGGTGGATCGCCCGAATGAGTTTAAGGAGAAGAAAGATATGATTGCAGAGAAGCTCCAGAATTCCAACAATGGCGATGATGATCCCAGGAAGGAGGTGGAGGAGAAAAATGGCTATAATTGTGAGAATCCCCAAGAGATTCAGATAGATAAAGAGGTGATGAGGATAAAGCAGGTTCTTTGCAGCGGCTCTGGTTCTGATGAAGTCTTGTATGAAGCTCTGAAGACTCTGCAACTCATGGAAATGTCTGTCGAAACTCTGAAAAGGACTGAAATTGGAAGAATGGTGAATGCTCTGCGCAAACATAGCTCTGTTCATATTCGAAACCTTGTTCTGAATCTCGTTAATGGATGGAAGCTTTTGGTGGATCAATGGGTTAAATCCACAGCTGAATCCACGGTGCCAATTTCTGAAGAAAAGGCAGGTAGCCATTCTTCTTCTGGAGCAAAGAGAAAGCAGGTGGAGGAAGTTGAAGATATGTCGAGGTTGGAGATTGCGAAGAAGAAGCTTCATGATGGATACCAGAGAGCGGAAATCGCGAAGAAGAGGCGGATGATACAAGTAATAGAGCCTGGAGATCTTCCTGTGGATTCAAGCAAACCAGGAGGAGGAAGAAGAAGAAGGCTACCAGCATTCTGATTCAGTTCTGTGCTGAAAATCTTTCAGATTTGTTCTGTTTTTGGTTGTTAGTCTTTGTTCATAGGTTTTTTCTAGATCTTGTGTGTTGATGTGTTTGAAGTTAGAGAAAATATTAGGTAAGAAGTTCACATCATATATATAGAATCAGCATGCATACTGAATTTGAACATATTGCATAGGGGGGATGATGATATTTCATCTGCACTTTTCTTGTTTAAGTGATGCATATACTGTTAGTACTTTTTACTCTTGAGATAATATTCCTGTTTTAGTTAATATGCTTGTGCTGGTGAGTGGCTGTTTAATAATCAGATATATGAGTTTAGTTGAAGTCGGTTTGAAATTGGCTCGTGGTTCATTTTATTCAATTTTAAGCCGAGCATGTTTGAAATGGAATCGAGCTGAATATGCTTGAAATTAAAATGAGCTGACTCAAATTGAGATATTTGGTTTTGTTTTAGCTTGGAATTAGCTCGATATGACTCAAAGTTGAGAATTACATCTTTTCATGCATGGGTAAAATGTCATATATGTAAGAATTGAAGCTTAGATGTGGGATATATAAATACATAGAAATTGAGCGGTATATATATAAATCTTCCTTTTTAAAAAATATTACACAATTTTAGATTCGTTATTTTGATGCACACTGCAGTAGAAAATAATTGCTTGTGCAGATTAAGGTGTGTAGAAGGCCTAATTTTTCTGTCCGGAGTCCAGACGTGCAGTGGAGGATCGTATCGCTGCATCGCGGTCGTTGTCCGCACGTCCGGACTCAGGACAGAAAAATCACTCTTGTAGAAGAATTTGCTTGTTGGGCTGTTGGGGCTAGCTCCCCAGGCTCCTATAAGTGTAAAGGAGCCTCTTTTTATTGCACTCTTTGTAAAGATTTGTTTTTTCCCTGGTTGTGCTATCGAGAGTCATATAAAAAATTGAGTTTGTGATTAGCTTACCCATTTCAGCTGTCATCAACTGTATTTTTCATAAGTTATTACATCATGATCCCTTATTATTTTGTTGTCATGTAAACTGGGTAACAACCTGATATTGATGAAGGAATGTATGGGAATTGAATTTTATGGTATGTGCTTTGGCAGAAAAATCAATGTGCTTCTCATTCCATACTTTGCATTGGGTTCCTAAATCAATACAAGCAAAATAACTCAAAATATCACAATTCAACAACCAATATGCAAGTTTGGTTGCAACACTGTCAAATGAAACCCACTTGCGCCTAACAAAAGCTTTATAGACCTTGCATTCCTTAGCGTTAGTAAAGAATTCACGAACTATAGGGATTGTAACTTAATTGGATTCTATTATAAAAATTGGCCCATCTCTTTATCCATAATGGTGTGCTTAACATCACCACTAGGATTCAATAGCTCCCTCTCCAAATTAGCTTATTTAGCATAAGCGAAGACTCATACATCTATTGAGCTTTTGCATTAACAAAACGTCAAGTGCAACACTGTCAAATGAAACCCACTTGCGCCTAACAAAAGCTTTATAGACCTTGCATTCCTTAGCGTTAGTAAAGAATTCACGAACTATAGGGATTGTAACTTAATCGGATTCTATTATAAAAATTGGCCCATCTCTTTAACCATAATGGTGTGCTTAACATCACCACTAGAATTCAATAGCTCCCTCTCCAAATTAGGTTTTTTAGTATAAGCGAAGACTCATACATCTATTGAGCTTTTGCATTAACAAAGAGTCGAGTATCATGCATCTAGAGCTTTGCATCCCTCAATCTTGAGGTAAACACCATTTATCCAGAATGAAAAGAATTTGAAGTGCATGAAAATGGTTTCTCCAAGACTCAATAGGCTTGAGGTAATGTGAAAAATAAAAAAAAAATGAACTCATACCCTACTTATAAATGGAATGGCGGCGCGACACTGCATGGATGGCGCTGCCATGCAGAGCTCTTTGCTTCAAGCACGATGATACTGAAGAATAGTGTTGTGGTGTTGGGTTTAGATTTAGTTAGTGATACTTAATAACGACCATCAATTCCTAGTTGAAATAGTCGATAACGATCAATAGAATTGATTTGGCACCGCGACACGAGGGGCCAACACTAAGGCACTTGCAAGGATTTGAAATTGTTTCAAGTAATACTAAAATTCATATTACAATGTGGTTTGACTGGCACCATGATGCTATGACTCTGTAACACCAAGGTACTATCAAGAACAGTGTTGTGGCAGTACATCAACCAACACCGAGGTACTCACCTGATACATATGATCATATAAGATGGCGGGTAATTGTTGTGATGCTAAAGGGTAACATTGTGTTTCTTCATTAAGAAAGATCATATAGTCAGCCATATTTTTTTAAGAAAATTTAACATCATACAAAATCATGCAATCAACACAAAAGAAATCAAGGAAACAAAAAAAAAAAAAGAAGATAAATTAGGTTGCCTCCTAATAAAATCTAGTTTAACATCCTCAACCCAACAATGTAGTTTCTATTACTCAGGATGAATAAACTCAATTAGTTCTTTGAGACTATCTAAATCACCTCATATGTATGGTTTCAACATTTGGTCATTTACCTAAAAGTTTGGGTCCTGAATTTCTACTATATCATAAGAAAATACTTTAGCTAGATTAAATGATCCCTACTGCCTAGACTTCAACTTCTTAGGAAATATTTTTAATCTAAAATTGAATAGTAGAACCTTATGTCAAGAAGTAAACTTTTTCATAGATGATTACAATCATGCCATTTCTTATAATTTTTCTTATAAATTCTAACATTTTCATGTACTTCAATTTTAATTTCATGAAATTCATTTAATTATAACAGTCTTTTGTCTTTTGCATTTTTCAAATTAAAATTATTTTTTTTATAGCACAATAAGTTCTAAGGTCAGGTGGCAAACTTTTTAAAATAAATAATAATGTGACATCCCAATAGGAATATGTATGGTGTGCTATATGCCCATAAATATCTTCCTATTTGATTGTGCAATCTTTCCCATTGGTATTCACTAATTTCTCCATTATTATTTTTATCTCCCAATTAAATATTATAGCTTCGTCACTAGTTTGGGGGTGGTAGGTAGTAACAAATCTATGTCTAATTCCATATTTTTCTCAAACAAATTTAAACTTGATGATTGTATAAGTGCTCATTTTTATCACTAATTATTGCTCTAGACATTCCAAAGCATGAAAATATATTACCACTTAACTAGTGAATTTAAAAATAATCCTAATATTGTTTTTTCGAGCAACTATAGCCTTAATCTATTTTGACACATGATCTACTTCCACCAAAGTAAATTGATTTCCTAACAAATTAATAAACGGTTCTATAAAATCTATCCCCTAACATCAAATAAGTCAATTTCTAAGTTATAATCGTGGGGCATTTCATCTTTTCTCTTTATGTTCCCTATCTTTGACAGCAATTGCACTGTTCTAAAGTTATTCACATCCTTAAATAGTGTGTGGTAATAAAATTATGATTGTAAGATCGTAGATTTGGTTCTATCTACTCTAAAATGCCCATCATATTCAGATTCATCTATAAGGGGTTTGTCATCTTAAAAACCCGTCACCTCACAGTCTACCACGAGTCGATTGTCTCGCCCATCCTTCACTTAGGCACCACCTGATAGTGATTCAGTCATCCCTAACTAGTCATTCAGAACTCCCAACATCTCACTCATGAACTGTTAATTCAGAAGCAGACTCAGAATCTCATTTAAGTTAGGGGAATTCCAGTTGATCAGTTCATAGCTTATAAAAAAAAACACACAAGACCCTCAGCAGACAATAATGAACCATCAAGAGTTGGTATCATACTTACCCATCACTTGTAGGAACCCCGACATGTATGAGATAGGAGTAGATGAATCATTGCCTTAAGCTGCTTGAATGTCCTGTTGTGGTGTCACATCAAATCCTTTGCACCTGACAGTCCTCCCGAGCTAAGAACGGCAACGACTCGATCTGATTCAGGGATTGTGGCAACCCCTCCAACGATAACAGTGATCAACATCTTTGAAATGTGGGGAGTGTCTCTCGGGGTTGCACAGAGAGACCCCAGATAGTTGATTGATGCATTAAAATTGTCAGATTCTTGAATAGTGCCTTTGGGAATCACATGGAGGAGTTGTTGCGCTGATACAAGATAAACATAATCAGGGGCGCTAGCGATGCCCTCCGGGAATGTTTGATAAGATCCATGTTGGTCTGTTAATGGAGAATCCACTTGAACGTCAACCTGCTATATCGCATGTGCTAACCAAAACAAGCCTTAAAAGGAGTATATTTGTTGGGACATTAGCTTGGGCCGCATAAGGTGTCTCCGTCGATCAAAATTTCTAGCAAGGTGACCAACATTAGACAGTTGAAGTAAACTTAATGATTTATTTTAGGGAAGTCTCGTCAAACTATGCATGGGAGCACGAGGCGCAAAAACTGAATGAAATATTTAAAGTTTTAAACATTTATTGTAATCTAAGAAATAATTATTGAATTTATTATCTCTCTCTCTCTCTCTCTCTCTCTCTTATTACAACATGACTTCCTGAGATTCAAGAACAACAAAGAGCTAAATATGTACATAGGGAAAAGTACACTTCCTAGAAGATGATGGGATCAATAAACCTAATCGAATAAATATGGGCGACCGAAAGGCTTCTCAAGGCGGTCCAAGAGTTGCCACAAGCGGACTTCAAGGGATGATCGTTAGACATTGAAGGGCCAAAGAAGCGTGATAGGTCGTGCGCACTGAAGGTCGATCGACCTAGGGCAGAGTGAACTTTAAGGCCAAATGACTTTGACCAATGTATTAATGATTGACATGGACCACACTTATCAAGTCAGCTAACATATCACAAGTTTAAACAAATAGGCCGTCCAGAGGTCATCATTTGATATTACATGGTTTATACTTAGGGTGTGTTTGGGGCATCTTTTTAGTTTTGGTGAGGTGGAAAAATGTAGAAACATGTATTTGGAAAGAGCGATGCGGCGATTTTTTGGGATAAACACATGTAAATGAGGGTTCGACCATGCTGCCTGCATTTTGTTCGCACGATATTACCCAACTGCCTCTTTTACAACATTCACATTTTGTTCATGTGCCCCTTTTGATGTCGTGCTTATCTCACACAATTGTGTCGTAGGCCCCTTCTCCTCACCCCTATCTCTGGTTTGTGGTTCTGGTAGCATCTCTCATCTCATTCCTTCCTCCCTTCTCATTGGTCTTCGGTTCTAGTGGCACTCTCCCATATCTCCCTATGATATTCTTGATTCTGGTTTGATGTTTTTCCTGTGTGGCTTGCTCTTTACGATTTCTGGCTTTGATCTATTTGCAATTTATGACATTTTTCTAGTCCCCGTGTGTTCTTTGCTCTAAGGTCTACTTTGGAACGGTTCTATGCGAGCCTCATTGCAATTTCTGGCATTTTTCCATTACATGTGTGCCCTGTGCTTTTTGCTCTATGTTGGAGGGGTTCGACTTGAGGCCCTTTGAGATTTCTAACATTTCCCCTTACCTTTCGTTTTCCGATCAATGAGATCTATGGTTTGGTTTTTTTGATTTATTGCCCAATTTGGGCTCTTTTGAACATGAACAAAACATAAATTATACGAGCCAGACACAATTAAACCATAGGCTCACTCAAGCTCGGCTCGTTTACAACCCTAGAGAGGGCAGCTCAAAGTTGGGAATGGAAGGCACAAGCATCCAAGATCTTACTCGAGATAAATGTCAAAAGGGGCATCATACTTCATGAAGGAACCGTTTTTTTGACCGTTACCGTTAGAAGTGAGAGACTGAACTGAAATTGTACATGGTCCCACTCAGATCTTTTGATGGGATTCTTGTATTACAAATGATCTTTCTTCATCATTAAGGAATCTCTGAGATTTTTCTCTTTTCTAAAGAAATCTAAATTATATATATGCATCTTCGCGTGTGAAGGGATTATTACTTGCGAAATCCACACATGCGAATTAGTGATATTTTGATAGTATTGTGGTGACGAATTCTATCAATATACCATCAAATTCACATATATTCGCATCTTTTTTATTCGCACGTAATAATTTTTCGTGTGTTTATGTGAGAGGGACATTTCTAGTTTTACATCAAATAAATACTAAGAATATGTGAAGCCGGCATGGAGGGGACTCAGCTGAGTGGAAGTCGGACTCGCCTTCACAAATAGCACGTGCGTTGAGTTATTTGACTCGCCCAGGAAGCAGTCTTGACTCGGAGCTCCGCCGGTCCCAAATCCAGCCCTAGATATTTGCGAGCTGAAGAAGGGGGAAATCTGTCGCTCTTCATCATTTCGATTGCGATCGAGTGCCCCAACAGTGGAAAAATCCAAACCCTACTCCCTTTCAAGTTCAGGTCCGTATAAATTCCTAATCTGGCTACTTTTCTGAATTCTCTTTGATCGATCGAGTAATGATTGTGATCTTCGATTGCTTGATCTGTTTCTTTAAGGAGCGTGGGTGTTCGTTAGTGAGTTGAATTCATTATCGAAGTTCCCTTGTTTTTTGTTTCTTTTGATGCGTTGGTAGCTACATTTCTTATTAGAAGTGGTTTCTTTCAACTTTGTCATGCTTGTCCTGGTACCGTGTTGTGTTTCCTTCATTGAAATTTGGAAATTTGATGGTTCGGCTTTTATGCTCTGTAGGTTTTGCTTTGTATGGTTTAAAACCCCCTGCTTTTTTGGCGAGGTGATCGCCCTTTTTTGTCAAATCTTGTGCCCAACTACTGATTTTTGTGCTAATTGCTTTTTATCTTATATCCAGCTGAGTAATCCTCCCCAAATTTTCTGGAGTTTTGAACTGTCCATGGTCATTTAGATTTATTTTTTGAGTGGTAGTGATCATACCTGATTTTGTGATCGAGTATTTCGAGTTTGAGATGCCTCCGCAGAGGCAGGTACCCCGTGTGGACACTTTGGACCTTAAGATACAGATAATCAAGAAACTCGGTCGTCAGAAAGCTGAGAAGTATTTCTTCAACTTGAGAAGATTGCTGAATCTGAAGCTTAGTAAAATGGAGTTTGACAAATTCTGTTTCAGTATCATGGGGAAGGAAAATGTCCGATTGCATAACTTGTTCATCCGTTCAATACTAAGCAACGCTTGTTTCTCTCATGGTCCACCCAGTAGTCATGCAGTAACCGGTAATTCTAGGAGTACTATAACATCAAATGGTCAGTTCAGTGACATTTTGCCATTATCGCCTCGAAAAGGCAGGTCCATTACTAGCCGGGATCGCAGGCTTAATGACCGCCCAAGTCCTCTTGGCCCCCATGGTAAGATTCCATCTGGAAATGTAATGGAAATCACCAATTCATGTGATGTTCAAAGGTCAAGAGAGCAGCAAAGTGCTCCTGAGTTGATATCTATTGGTAGCAAAGCTTTGTTGGAAGTTGTTTCTGTGGAAGATGGAGAGGAGGTAGAGCAGGTGAGAGGCAGTCCGAGTGTCCAAAGTAGACCAAGCGTCCAAAGTAGAAGCCCTATACGTGCTCCCTTAGGTATTGGCGCCAATTATAAAGCTCTCACTAGTGGTCACGCTACACTTTTACGACCTGCCAAGTCCGACAAACATGAGTGTTGTCGAATCAGTTCCGTGCTACCAGATGTGCTGTCTTTGAAGAGGCGTTTGGAGCATAAGTTGGAAACTCAGGGACTTGCTTTGTCGGTAGATTGTATTAATTTGTTAAACCATGGATTGGATGTTTATTTAAAGAAGATGATCAAGCCATGCCTGGAGCTAGCTAGGTCAAGGTCTGGAAATAATAATTTGTGCGGGACAAGAAGCAACTTTCACCATGGACTTAATAGCTCATGGCATGGGGAAGATGTGCGAAACTCCAGTCAGTTCTATTCTGCATCAATATCTGATTTTAAGGTGGCAATGCAATCCAGTCCTCGCCTACTTGGAGTAGATTGGCCTGTACAGCTTGAGAAGATATGCGTATATTCTTCAGAGGAATAAGCTATGCCTTACACTTGGTTACACCTTCGATATGTAATGCCAAGTCCTCTAAATAAGCAGGGAATGATGGTTTTGTAACTTTAGCTAAATCATTTCTCTTACTGCTTATCTAAAATAATCATAATGTTCAACAGAAGGTTGAATATGTCCCTAGGTCCAATGGCCGTCATGCACAACCTCTCTCAAGAGTTTTGGCTTGCCATAGTTGATAATTTCAATTAAGGAGAATAACTTCATTTACCTTGCAAAGTGAGGATATGGTGTCGTGGTTGTGTCTTGTTGAAGCAGGTGCATTCTTGAAAGGGTTTGAGCTCTACCATTACATTATTTTCTTCTTGACACAATTATTATGTATCCAGTTTATTTTCAACATTAAAGCTGATTTAGTTTTGAAGAGCATTTTTTTATATGTCAACAGCTTGTAAATAAATAATGAAAATAGATTTTTAGTGCTTTGTTTCACTCCATATATTTTTAGCAGCTGGATTATCAAATTTCGTTCTATTCTTTCTATGAAGGTTAAATCACATTAATTTCCGTTCCCTTGGTTTCCTGAATTCCTTTTTGTGTGAGCTTGCGAGCGAAACGGTTAGCTTGATAAAGTAGCATCACACATCATAAGAAATTATGAAAAGTCGTGGAGGAATTCATCATTCATAATGAATGTTCCCATTGGAAGGGCTCAAAGTTTCATTTTCTTTGTCTTCTACAGAGTTTAGGAACGTGTATTGAGGTATTGCTCTAACACGTAGTTTAGTTAAATGAATGTGGAGACATAAATTATCATCAGCTTCATAAGAACATCAATTTTCTTCTTCCCTTTTATTCACCCTTCTTCCATTGCTCTCAACCCATGCAGTAAACCATTGATGTCTATTGTGCAGCTTTTTCCTTTTTTGACAGTAAGTTGTGAATTCACCGTTGCTTCCAATGAAGAATATATGGATCACATACATATAAAACTTCTGCATTCATGTATAAAATAGAGGTCAAAACTTTATTGTGTGTTTCTAACTTCAGCACATACTGCAGACTTAATTTTTTTTAAATATGCTGCTTTTTTGTATTGAAAAAGAGTGTGCATAAGCATGTGGGTAGGGTTGTCAAAACGGCTCGTTGTTCGCAAACAGTTCGTGTTCTGCTCGTTAAGATGCTCTTGTTCGATACGTTCGCTAATTTAACGAGCCGAACACCGAACACTTTTTTGTGCTCGATATATAAACGAGCCGAACACGAGCAAAGATTTGTTCGTTCGTGTTCTGCTCGTTTTGGCTCGAAATACTACTCATCAACTATATATCTACATATATATATATATATATATATATATATTATATAGTAACGAGAGCTCTGGCTCCAGTGTCGACATCGGCGTCCTAGGGTTTCATCGCAGTAATGTCGTTTGATTCTTCCTTCGACTTCAGCGTCGACTTAGTTCTTTTGGCCGACCTCTTCAGCTGTCTTATTGTCGTCTTCTTCGCTTTCAGCCTTCGATTTCACGCGTTTCTCTCGTCACTGCCGCGAAGCCCTATTTGCACGTCGACTCAGCTTCGACTCCCTCTCTTTCTACTCGACTGCTCCGGATTGAGCGTTGCACTCGCGTCCTCCTTGCACGCAAGTGAGTTCGTCCTCTCTACAGGTATGTGAGCTACGATCACAGTCCAGACTCAATCCCTGTAGATTGCGCTGTTCAACTCCCCGTTCCATGGCTTCCGCTCCTTCTCAATCACCGACTACTTCAGTTTTAAATCTTGGGAATGCTTCTTTAGTTGATATGGTTGGCTCTACGGGATTAGATCATATTTTCACTCAGGTCTATCATGAATCATTCGAAGGCCAAGGGGATTGCAACCTTATCAAGAAGACGAGTAGGAAGAGTGACAAACTAGCTTTATTATTCTCTAATGTTGAAGTTTCCAACCTGGTTGATAAGTGCAAATTCACCTTCATTGGGAAGTTCCAATCAGGACATCCTAAAATGGAAATCATTCGAAAGCTTTTGAATATCTCAAACTATTGGGACTTTGAAAGGACGACCTCTTTGATGAGAGACATATGATGATACAATTATCTAAAGTAGAAGACTATGCCAAAATATTTTTTAAAAAGTTTATGGCAATAGATGAGAAATATATGAAATTGCTCAAGTGATCTCATGAATTTGACCCTCCTAGCCAAGAACCACCTATAGTTCTAATCTGGTTTAAACTATCTGGCATCTGGCCTAAAATTGCACTGGCCTAAAATTGCACTACTTCAATCACCAAGTCATCTATTCTATTGGAGCTGCACTAGGAAGACCTATGAAATTTGATATACCCACCTTCAATCTATTCAGGCCTTCGGTTGCAAGAATCCTTGTTGAAAGAGATATCACCCTCCCTGATGTGGATGAAATATGACTTGGTACTGTCTACAATGGGTATCGACAACCAATTGTTGCAGAACAAAGACCATACTACTGCAATTACTGTAAACTGTTTGGGCACACCCCTGTCAAATGCTTTAGGCTTCACCCACATTTGAGATCGATAGGTCCTAACAAAATCATCCATGTGGAGGAAAATATAACAACCACTGTTGATCTTTCAGAAATGTTGAATGAAAATTTGACTCATTAGACTATTCCTCACCAACCAGATCAGTAGCTTTCTCTTACTGTTGTTGAGGCAGTTCTTCCTCAGATCATAATACTACGAATTTTGTTGTAGTAGATGCTAATCGAAGTGTCTTAGAACCACCTATTGCGAGCGAAGAGGGCACTCAAGTTCTAGAAGAGTGTTAGGATCAAGTATCCTGCAAGCTGAATCTGATCAGTAGTTCACTGTTCAACACCCCCCCCCCCCCCGGGGGGGTGAGCTCTCTATCGAAGATCCACCAATTGTTCAGACAGGACTGCCTCTAGCAGATGATTGACAGGTTTACAAATCTAGGAAGAAGAAAAAAGGAATGCTAGAACTCAGTAATTCTCAGGATGACTGCCTCATAGTTTCGGACGGAAGCCCACATCTCAGTAAGTTGCTGGACTCCCTCCCTAAATCCAGGAGAAGGGGAAGCGGTAAATCCACCGACTACACCCACCATGATTAAAAGTTGTTTTTTTATTTATATATTTGGGGAATACTTGTAGTTTATGTCTCCTTTTGAGTAAGTTGTAATCCCTTGAGTGGGCTCTTTGTATCCACTCACTAAAACCTCTTTATCCTCCCTTTTATATCAATGAATTTGCCTTTTCAAAAAAAATAAATAAATAATATATTTAAAAAAATAAATCGACTACAAGGCTACAAAGATTTATAATCAATTATTATTAATAAAAAAATAGAATAAAAATATATTAATTTATATTTAAATGATAGTATATTGTAAACAATAAGAAATATAAACAATGAGATTTAAATCTTGCCCCAACCCTTAACATTCTACGGCTGCGTGATTAGGGTTGTCAAAGACTCTTTATTCGCGGACTGCTCGTGTTCGGATTGCTATGCAAACAAGCCGAACACAAACACACTTTTTGTGCTCGAAATATAAACGAGTCGAACACGAATAATGATATTTTTTAACAAACCGAACACGCGCTGAGCCTTGGCTCTCTCGTGTTCGGCTCATTTACACCCCTACATGTGGGTCATCTTGTACTATTTTCAAGTAAAGCAATCTTTTATAATTTAGGTACAAATAAATTTTTGAAATAATGAAATGTTATTGTTTTACTTTGCAAGGTTGCCCAATACTTGATTTGTAGGCCATGAGGAAACTGTTTTTTTTTCCCTCATGTACTGATGCAGTTTCTCTCTAATCATATTATTTGAAAAATTTCCAACCAATTGGCTTTATTGTCTTTTCAATCTTAACCATTTATATGTAATTTGCCTGTTATTTCATCATGGGAGAATGCTATTTTCTTTGTACTTTTTCTTGGAAGCATCATAATGCAGATCAAATATGCTGATGCGAAACCCAACACGCTTGCAGATTCACCTTAATTGTTGATATCTTGTTTCCTTTTTATATTTTTAAAGATCCTATTAGTATTGCTCATTGTGTCATTCATGTAGCTTTTTCATGTCATTTGGTATAGGTTATGTATTTTTAGTAATATAGGTTATTCCACTCATGGTTAAAGAAGATTTGAAAGATGTTGAAACCTTGCTTGGCTCATTCAAAATCCTCTCGCCATCTATTTCTCACTCCATCATATAGTCTGTCTTCTTTTTCGATGTTCTCCCTCCCCCTCGCACGCCCACACACACACAGGCACACACACTCTCTCTTCTTAAACTCTTTTTAGATCTTTTTTTTCCCTCGTGGTTTGAAGTGTGGTTCATATTAAGAGCCTCTATTATTTTAAGGGTAGGTTAGTTTCAAAGGAAGTCGATGGGCCTACATATCTTTCTCTGCTTGGCTTCCATGACATTACATAATTCCTTGTTTTATTCTTAATATCTTCATTCATGTTTATTAATTTTATCAAATCATTGTTTTGGATTTTAGGCTGTTACACTGGTTTTATATTAGATCTCACATTTTACTCTTTATAATATCTATTTTCAGGTCGAGATAGATTTTCTGATGTGTTAGGTTCATTTCATCGTTGTAGGCATGCTCTGTTATTGTGAAGTATGTTAATTTTTGTTGCAGGCTTTAACTGTTTCATTGTTTTAGTTATGCAGAATTGAGTGACGTCACAACCTAATGAGCTAAGAAATAATTCAGTAAGGGTCAAAACAATAAAAATGATCTATTTGTGCATCAAAGGTTAACTATTGTTGAATAGATAGCAAGACATGAGCCACACAAAAAAAAATCAGAAGAAAGCATATAGTGGAAGAGTGATGAATGCCATAATGTTGTCAGTAATGTAAATTCATACTATTGGGAGTCTGCCTCATTACAAACACACGCTCTACACAATTTTTCTCTGGTTTATTGTTCTTCATCGCTTCTTTAATTTATATATATATATTAATGTTTGACACAGTAACTTTTTATTTTACTTTATTTTATGGTGGATGTAAATGTTTGGATGGAGATTTGCCCGTTTGATTGTTGAGATACATCATGAACCAACTGAGGGTGTTGCTTTTTTTATTCAGAACTATAAGAAATATAATTCTTATGGAAGCACCTATTGGTGATATAACCAACTGATAAGGTAAATAAAAAATAAAAAAAAAACTTAGTTATGAGGTTTTTGCTTTTGCATCATACAATAATGGATGAAGAAATTTTCTTTTCTGTAATTGTTCTCATTCGCCTTCTCCTGTGCAATTGGAGGTAAGCATCAAATGCTGTCTATCAGGAAAAAAAGTTGTTAATGTGCAGGGCCTCAAATATATATATATATATATATATATATATA